GAGAAAGGAAGAGTCCAAATGGGATAAGGTGCCTTGCCCAGCACTCCATGCCACCACTTTTTCATTGCAGAAGGAAAGAAGGGAGCGCACCAATGCTGCCAATAGGGCAGAAGTTTCTATTTCATACAGAAGTTTCTACTTCCAAAGTCAGCGATAAAGGGAGAAAGTGACTCCACACTGAGTTCTTCCTGCTTTGTGCCCTCACTTACTGCTCTTGCTTCTAAGGTCGCATTTCCCAGAATGCACTGTGCCACCACTAGCACCGCATCCTTCCCACCCAGCTGTTACCTGGGGTATAAGGTCTCCATCTGGACATGGAAAGTTGTGGAAGTGAAGGGATGAGGGAAAACCATTCATAAGTCCTATCGTAGACCAGAATCCAAAAGGGAGTAGAAAGTGATGATCAATCTAGTTTTGGCTGATGTAGCGTCCACCCGCCACCTCCACGTCAAAAATGAAGACAGTGAGTGAGTGATGCATTCATGTTGCCTTACCAGATGGTCTATGTTCAGGCAAATCCTGGCTCTGCCATGAACTTAAGCCGAGTTGGTTTTTTCATTCTAGGTGCATTTGCCTTAGAGTTGGTTGCACTGGATTGTTTAAGAAGCGTTGGTAACTTGTGTGAGTTTATAAAAATCGTTTTCTATGCTTTCAAAAGTTGCAGTTTAGATGCTTTAAGGTAGAGGCTCCCCCCGCTTTTCCATGCTACTGTCCTGTGATTTCTGTGGCTGCTTTCTCCTGGTTCTCCTCTATCCTCTGGCCACTCCTTTCCAGTGTTCTTCATACCATCCACTCACAATGCTCTTCCTTTGGCGTCTGCAGCCTCTGGGGACCTGTGCTATGCCTTGGCCAATGTCCAGCTCACTCTTTCTCCTGCTTGATCTCATCTACACCAATGGCTTCAACTAGCATATATTCCTGAGGCAGACTTCCAATACATAATTCTATCCCAAACCTCTCTCTTGAGGATATATTAAACCATTTACTAGACAGTGTCCCCATCTACACCTCATACTCAAACAACCAAAACAAAAATCATCTTTTATCCCCCAAACTTGGTCCATCTCCTTTATTCTCTCATTTGGTAAATTGCACCTCCATTCTCTCAGGTTACCAAACTTTTAAAAAAGTGGTTATAATCATTCGTCCATGGATCTAATTGATTACCAAGTCTTATTCATTATGACAACTTTCAAATATCCCTTTTTAAACCTCTCTTTACTGCCAACACCTTGCGTTGGAGCCTAGATCAGTTTAAGATTTTTTTGTTGTTGCAAACAATAGAAATGAACTCGGACGAATTTAAAGCGGAAAAAATGGAGGTGGATTTATTTGAACGGGTATTGGGAAAGCTCACAGAATTGAAAGGAAAACTGAATGACCATGCTTCAGGGTAGATGAGATCTGGGGTAACTCTGGGGACCTCAGTGGGTTGAGCTCAGTCTTTATGCCTGAGATACTACATGTGGTAACTTGGCTACAAGGTCTTTCATCTCTGTGTGTCTTTGTCAAACTTCCAAATTCTTAGTAGAGAGAATTTGGTTGAGCATCTTTGAATAAGCCATCCAGGACTAGATGACAGGAATGAGTGGCATAAGTTTATAAGCATTGGAGGTCCTTATAGTTTCTCCATCCTTTCTCAGTTCTGCCATAGCCTTCTCAAAGGCCTCTGTACTTTTCCAATCTATACTTCTTGCATCCTCCCAATCTATATATTTCTAAAATATTTAGTATTCACTGTATCTCCTTAGTTAAAATTCCTTGATAGCTTTTCATTCCTCATAGAATAACTTATAAGCTTCTATCAGGGATTTCACTCTTAGATTTGAGCCCTAGCTATCTCTCCAGCCTCATCTCTTGCTACCGTTCTGTTAAATCTTATGTTCCAAGCATATTGCAGTTATTTGCAATTCCCCTAAAAAATCATGCTTTATTCTAGTCTCGTGTTTTTGCTCCCTCTTTCTTAAATACCCACTTTCTCTTCTCTTTACCTGGTTAACTCACACACATCTTTCAAGGCTCAGTTTAGGCATTAGTTCCAAATCTCTTCTAGTCTCTTCTCATCTGGGCTAAGTGCTCTTCCTCTGTGCTCTGATAGCATCCTGAATTTATCTCTAACACTAGAGGCCTGATGCATGAAATTCGTGCAAGGGGCTCACCCTCGCAGCCCCAGCTGCCTCAGCTGGCCCTCGCAGCCCCTCACAGCCGTGGCTGGCCCTCACAGGCCTGGCTTCATCCGGAAGGTCACCCAGATGGTCATCTGGGTGGTCATTCTGCTGTTTGGTCTAATTAGAATATTCATTCTTTATTATATAGGATAGGCATTGCAATCTGTTCCATTATACTCTTTCCTTGTCCCTCTTCCTGGCTAAACTGTGAGATCTTGGAGGTCAGTGACTATATCCAATTTATGTTTGGTTTCTATTAGCTAGGGTGGACTTTAAAGCATCATAAATGTTCAGTTCAATATATTGAAATAAGCAAATACTGGTTTTTGAATGCCTAGTACACAAATATATATATATATATATATATACATTTCTACTTTTAAGGAGCTTACTCCTAGGAGGTAAACAATACCTATACATAAGAAAAGTATAGGTAGAACTACAAGATACTGTATCATTTCATGCACACACACACACAAAAATGACTGTAAGCTAGAATTTTGTATTTAATTGATCTGGAAAGTCTTCTTTAAAGAGGAAAAACCTGAGTAGTAACATAAAGAAAGAAAGAAAATTCAAATTCTTTGAAGAGGGTGGGAGAGTGTTTTAAGTATGGGGAGGAAGAGAAAAAGGCTCACTGTGTTTAAGGAACAGGGTGAAAACATTGTCCAAGGTAGAGGTTGATTAAGGTATGGTGAAAAGAGCCCTGGCCAGTTGAGGAATGCTTAGAGCATCGGGGTGGGGCTGAAGGGTTGAGGTTCGATTCCCAGTCAAGGGCATGTACCTCAGTTGCAGGTTACCCAAAGGGCTGGAGAGATGGGGGAGGCAACCAATTGATGTGTCTCTCTTACAATGATGTCTCTCTTCCTCTCTCTCTCGCTCTCTCTCTCTCTCTCCACTCCCCTCCTTCCCTTCCACTCTCTAGAAATCAATGGGAAAAATATATCCACAGGTGAGGATTAAAAAAAGAAGATATGATGAAAAGGTCAGTGTGTGTGTGTGTGTGTGTGTGTGTGTGTGTGTGTGAAAGTCAGAGGTTAGGGGGAAAAATTTGGAGCAGATTCTGTTTGTCTTTGTGCTTTCCATCTTCTGATCCCAGCATAGAACACCTCAGCATTCTAGATTGCCTGTTCATCACAATCCCCAGTGTCTCCTCCAGACTCAAGAAGAAAATAATAAAATAATTCAGATATTTTCAAAATAGAAAGTTTCCATATCAAGGCTTTTCCCCCTCCTCCCTGGAGTAAGATTTCCTGGTGTCATTTGAGGTATTGTACACCACATCTTTCCATTCTTATTTTTGACATAGTTTCTGTGATTTTTTTCATACCCTGAGTTGCAGACAAGCAGCATAAGATTTGTGCCCTCCAATTTGATGGCTCCTATTTATTTTCATCTTAATGTAAACAGGAACTGGAAAGACTAAATGTGAGTAAAGGGTGAAAAGCTCATTAGCCTATTTCCCTCGAAGTTTCACAGTTTAGCTCAGTCTAGTCATAAACTTTAGACAATCATTTTTAGGGTTTCTGTCTAGATGATCAAACTAGCTATAACCCCAGATAATCACCTTTGACACTATCAACACTAACATAGATCTTTCCTCTGAACCCATAGACTTTCTAGGAGCTTCAGTTGATAGTTCTACTTAATTGTCAAGGCCCCCAAATTTGATCCCGTCCTACCTAAAACAAGAAAAACAAGTAATTTCCCAGTTAGGCTCCTTCACAAACCATCCTGCAAGGCCCAGCTCCATCTCCATATCCTTTCAGAAACATCTTTGCCCTAGGCACCCTCTCTTTTCTCTAAATGGTGGGTTCTAAATCCTCTACTCTTTTCTTCCATTTGTAATTATCAAAATGTGGCAACTCCCTGGACAAACATGGCTGTATTGAAAGGGAATGTCTGCTCCTCCAACTCTCCCCCATTACTGACACATGAATTAATTTTATTTCAGATCTTTATGTAGATAAATCTCACCAACATCATAGAATTGGAATGTCACCTTGACTGCCTTTGGTTAACTCTCTCCACTTTTATAGCTGAGGAAGTTGAAGCCCCAAGAGATTTTCCATTCCTGTTTCAGATTTAACCATCACTTCCTCCTCCTATCAGTCTTCTCTTGTTTCCCATACAGGATCAAGAATGGGGCTGGCACACAGTGTGTGCTAAGGAAACAGTGTTTGTGTTGAATTGAACCCCTACAGAACGTGGACCATTCAGAGGCACTGAGTTTGGCGTCTGGGTGATTAATTACTTTGGGTTGGCCCATTTCGCAGTGAACAGCAATGGACCGAAGAAGACTTACCAAGTATGTAGTCTTGTTTGCCCAACTAAGTTATAAACACCATCTTATAGGAACTTCTTTTGTAGCTGATAGCACTTCGAACAGTTCTAGCCACACAGTAAACCTTCATTAAAAATGCTTCAATTGACTGTCCTCAGATAGAAAACCAGATCTTGGTCTGGGTTTCATGCAGCAACTGGAGTAGCTTTGCCAAAAGAAAGGCACCAGGCTGTCCCAGACAGACACGGCTGGGCCGAGGAAGCATTTTTCACACAGCTCTATGCCTTAAATTGTCCTTGAAGAAAAGTATCTGGAATCCAGTGCTACCTTTTAGGTACCAAAGATTTATTTTTAAAGTGGTACAATAAAAATTGTAACATATTATTAGGTAACTTAAGGAAATAGGACACATCAAAAGGGCACAAACTTTAAGATGTTAAGTGGGGATGAATGTATTTTGGTCTGACCACAATGCATCATCTGCTCTCCTTAAGTCTATTTTTTAAAAATATATGTATTTTTCTTGATTTCAGAGAAGAAGAGAAAAGGAGAGAGAAAGAGAGAAGCATCAATAAGAAAGAATCATCATTTGGCAGCTTCCTGCAAACCACACGCTGGGGATCCAGCCTGAAACCCAGGTATGTGGCCTGATCTGGAATCAGACCATGACTTCCTAGTTCATGGATCAGGCTCAGCTAGTGAGCCACATTGGCCTGAGGTGGAAGCAAGCCATCCTGACTGGGATTGCTCCTGGATTTGGGTTTATTTGTACCATGCTGTAGTCAGTTGACCCACCAACAACATAGCTTGACTATTTCTACTTTTCTTATTTTGGCCCTTATTCTACTACCCTCATTTTTAAAGGAGAGAGGTCTAGTTGAAGTAGTTGTAGGATCCTACTTAATTTGAACTAGATAACCCCCCAAATGGAACTGTCTCCAAGAAGGGAACCATCTACCTATTTTGGTTATTAACCCAATCTTACTGCTGAGCATCTTTTACTATGTTCAGGAAGTATGGGTTTAATAGGAATCAGTCAAGGAATAAAAAATACTTTATTACTAAAGATTGCAACTACTAAGAAAAAAAGAAAAAAACAAACAAACAAAAAATACAAAGATTGCAACTTCTGTCCCTTGCCCTCTTTCCCACAAAGGCGGGTGGTATCTGTGTACATGAAAGAGCAGAGTATGACAATGTTTACTATTGATTATTATTTTTACTACCCCACTTCTAGGACGAGAAACTTAGATATGGTTAGGAACATAAGGGAGCCCATAATCCAAGCTTGAGCATTAAAAATTGGAAATTTATTTGTGAAGTTCCACTAACTAGATTCCTTCTTATGAAATCATTGGCTAATCATTGGTGCAGGCAGAACCATTTCCATGGGGAGAGGCAAGTAGGCCTTCAAAATTGAAATAGGTCATCTTCAAGGATATGCTGAGGGTCCAGCCACCTAAAAGAAGTTCCTTAACCAGTCTACTAGAGCACTTCCTTTAGTGATCTAAAACTCCTATTTTAGAAGAAATTAACTCATCAGATGTCTCCAAGAGGTCCCACCTGCTTAACTCTTCAATCTGAGATTCTGTTTCTTCTCCCCCAACCCCTCCACCCCACCCCCACCTCCCTCTGGGACACAGGCTGGATCACGAATCCTATTCTTTACTATCCATAGTTTTTTCAGTTAGTGATCACCTAAATTGGGCTCTTCTAAGTCAGGCTCCCAACTTTGTTAAGGAGATTGAAAACATGCAGAGACCAGGCCTCTGAGCAACTGGATGTTCTGCCTCTTTTCAGCTCCTCATATGAAAAATCAAAGGCTCCAGGAACTAATGCAGTTAAACCTGAGAAAGGAAATGCGGATGGTGATGAGGTAAGGATGAGAATTTGCAAATGTTCATTTGTAATCTTTCTTTGGAGTAGCTTAGAATATTTTATAAGCTGTGTCTTACAAATGTCCTGCGGAAAAGCAAAAAAAAAAGGCGGGGGGGTCAAGAGTCATATAGCAAGGTTAATTGATCCAATTTTATGCAAGGTAAACAGAGACATAGAAAAGAGAAGAGATAGGACACAACAGCAATAAATCAGGGTGCAAAACCAGGGATCTTAGGGCGTGAGTGTTAAACCCCGATTTACATAGAATTCATGGCCACTTCCTTTTTTTAAAATATATACACTGAGTGGCCCGATTATTATGACCACCTGACATTTGTAGGCAAATTAGCTATAATTTCACATTGAAGTTGCCAGAGGGTCAGCCCATTATCAATAGGGAAGCAGGTTGTTTACCACGACAGTAGAAGTGATTTTTTTTTCCTGAAGATATGGGTAAACAACACGATTTAACAGCCTTTGAACTTTGTGTGTGTCGGGGGGGAGATACACACACACACACACACACACAGTGGCCAGATTATTATGATCACCTGACCTTTGTAGGCAAATTAGCTGCATCATATGGGATATGGAAGCCGAAGGCCTATTCGAACACCTTTGCTGTC